CATTGCATTTTCAGTATCATTATCAAAACATTTCACTGATATTCTGACGTATTGACACTATTTTCTAGCGTTTAATTCATATTTAAAGATTCGATCACATTTATTTTATTTAACTCCTTTAAATTTCAGTTTGGTCACAGGAGTCTTCGGTCATGACAATTAAATAAGCAACATATTTACAGAACAATATCAGTTATTGAAATTTCAAGTGTTTCTTCTGAGAGTTGTCCTTCATTGTTAGAGTTTTGTTACTTCCTTAAGTATCTGTTTTACTATTTCAATGTAAAACAGTGTCCACATTCGCCAACCAATAAACACAATATAATTTTAGATTTTTAATGGCGACTGCACCTACAGGCACTCTGCAGACTTAACCCCATGTACAAGTCATTATAACAATTGGCCCATCAGACAACACCACCCTGTGTCCACATTTGTTATATTTGCAAGCATAATCAATTTACTGGGAGTGATGGCGGATTTTGGGTTTTATATTTTAGTTCAATTGTCTTCTGCTTTCCTTCTTGGATCCAAATTCAAAAAAGGATCGTTAGGTCAGAATTTAAGGTTCAGTAACCACCAATGAGATTAGGGTCTGAGACTCCTTTAACTCACTAATAACCAAATAAAAAACATAAATGGTACAGTGCACAGTGATAACTGAATTTAAGTGCAAGACTTAAATTCTATTAATATTTTAAAGTAATGTATTTCCAAATTATGGATCTAGGCTTATGGTATTTAGGCCCTTTGGTTAACATATTTCGAAAAAGAAGTGCTGATGACAATTTTTAGGTCACTAGCAATAACTTGGGCAGCCGAATTTATATAATATATGCATGGGGATTGATAACAGGTGCAATCAGGAGGTATTGACTTGAATTCGTCAATATTGAGAACCAGAAACACGTGTGTGTAGTTGATCATTATTGAAGTATAGGTATATGAGATGATAGGAACAGAATGATATATTTTATTTCCTAATTTTAATTGCGAAAGTTACAACCACTCCATCTTGACGTATTAAACTATTTTCAATTGAATAGTACAATTTGAATACAATTTAATATTAATAAGTTTTGTGGAAAAATGCATATTTTAAAGAACATTTTACTCTTAACAATAACCACAATAAACCTATTTCTCGTATCAAACATAAACTAAAAGAACTAGCCAAGGAATTTGTTTTTGTCCCGGCCGATAAAGCTGCTAATAATATTATTATTGTTTGACGTAAATTTTACATTGAGGTTCTGAAAAAAGAAATCACCAATTCACCAACATTCCAACTGACTCCATTTTCAGAAAACGACATCTGTAACAAACATAAACTTTTAGCTACCGCTTTACAAGCAGAACCAAATACAATGAAAGTCCCAACTATGTATTGGCTTCCGAAGCTACACAAAACACCTTACAAATATAGATTCATTTCGTCTTCAAGCCATTGTTCCACTACTAAATTGTCTATTCTTCTTACCAGTACACTTGGTACAATCAAAAACCTGATAATAAATTGTTCAAATAAGGCCTTCGAAAATAGTGGAATTAATTACTTTTGGAGTGCCAAGAACTCGTTGGAAGTACTTGATAAATTACATGCATATATTGGTGATTTTGAATCTGTTCAAAGTTTTGATTTTTCTACCCTATATACCACATTGCCTCACATTCTCATTAAGAAAAAATTCACACACCTAATTAAATGGGCATTTAAAAAGTCAGAATGTGAATATATATGTTCAAACTCTTTTAGGTCATTTTTTAGTAGCAATAAACAAAAAAAACTATGTCAATTGGACATGCTTTGATACTATATATGCCCTTGAATTTTTACTAGATAACATTTTTGTTCGCTTTGGAGATTCCGTATATCGTCAGGTTATCGGAATTCCAATGGGGACTAACTGTGCACCACTTATTGCGGACCTTTTTTTGTATTGCTATGAGTTACAATTTATGACAAAAATCAGCAAAGACCCATCGAAACAACATCTGATACACAAATTTAATAATACTTTTAGATATTTGAATGATATTTTGGCTCTCAATAATGACGACTTCAGTATGTATACTAAAGAAATTTATCCTATTGAACTTACTTTAAATAAAGCTAATACTAACAATGACCACTGCCTTTCCTCGATCTTGATATCTATATCATTAATGGAAAGCTTAATACTAAAATATATGATAAAAGAGATGATTTTTCATTTCCTATCGTTAATTATCCATTTTTAGATGGTGACGTTCCCTTGTCACCATCTTACGGTGTTTATATATCTCAACATGTACGATTCGCTCGTGTATGTAACAATGTTTTAAATTTTAACAAGAGAAATTTATGTATTTCTGAAAAATTATTACACCAGGGTTTTCAATATCACAAACTAGTCAAAACATTTACTAAATTTTATCATCGGTATAAGGACATCATTCGTAAATATAGCTCAACATGCAGACTTATACGTTCAGGTATTTCACATCCAATTTTTTATGGAAATATTCTTTATAAAGCACAAAAATGTCAGTATTCACCTCTGAAGCTAACAAAACCTTTATATAGACTTATTAAGAAGGGATATAGTTACGATACTGTTGTCAGGTCATTAAAGATTGCATATTTTGGCGTTAATATTGATTCACTTATAGGGTCTTTGCATCGGCACTAAACACATTTATTTAAAAACCAGTTGTTGGCATGAAACGGGTTATGTTCTTCTCATATATGTTATGATGGTATGATACTAAACCCCTAACGGGAAGGATTGTGCCTGATATTCATATGATGAAGACACAATCTTTCAATCAGTTTAATTGAAGTCTGGAGCTGGCATGTCAGTTAACTGCTAGTAGTCTGTTGTTATTTATGTATTGTTGTCATTTTGTTTATTTTCTTTGGTTACATCTTCTGACATCAGACTCGGACTTCTCTTGAACTGAATTTTAATGTGCGTATTGTTATGCGTTTACTTTTCTACATTGGCTAGAGGTATAGGGGGAGGGTTGAGATCTCATAAACATGTTTAACCCCGCCGCATTTTTGCGCCTGTCCCAAGTCAGGAGCCTCTAGCCTTTGTTAGTCTTGTATTATTTTTAATTTTAGTTTCTTGTGTACAATTTGGAGTTTAGTATGGCGTTCATTATCACTGAACTAGTATATATATTTGTTTAGGGGCCAGCTGAAGGACGCCTCCGGGTGCGGGAATTTCTCGCTGCATTGAAGACCTGTTGGTGACCTTCTGCTGTTGTCTGTTCTGTGGTCGGGTTGTTGTCTCTTTGACACATTCCCCATTTCCATTCTCAATTTTATATACAATGATTTTAAACTATTGTCAACACAAAGAGCTGACTGGCATACAGACATAATGGTCATTTCTGGACTTTTTGCAGTAAAACCCACGCTAATGAGAGCATCAGCATAGCTGTGCATGATGTAACGAATACGCAGCCACGGTCGGCTGGAATAGTGATGTGGCACGTTATGGTGCATGTAGGGAGACTGCAACAATATGACATTATATGCACATTTAAGAACCCTTGGAACAACTTCGAGGTTCGAATGGGTCCGTAATGATCATGTTGTAAGCATGATGTTCCACCCTATCCAAGAAATTACTATCATTTTCCCAGCAGAAATTTAATTCAGGCCCTTCATTACGTTTAACCGATTTTGCAGAACCTACGTATTGGATTAATTGCTTGTTTGTGCGAATCTTTAATATACATGCACCATCAATGATTTACTGGGGGTAAAGAAATATATATTTTACACGAAACATTTATCCCTGGACGTCCAGCAATCGATATTCAAATACGGATTTTTCTCAAGATTTTTAACTGATTGCTCAAATTCACCTCATCGTTACGATTTGGCCACTTTTACGACCGATTTGAGAGTTTTTACAAGTTATGAGGAGCTATTTACGGTTTTACATAGATAGGTTAAAACTATATATTGTGTTGTTTAATTTTAACTCAAAAATATAATTTGATTATGGAAGTTGTAAATCAAATCAATCTTTTTACAGTTAAATTATTCATTATGTTAACAAGTTTTGAAAAAGTCCTTCAAATCTTTCTGTTCAGCTTTATATTCTTATTGATGAGCCTACGGCCTTTAACAATGGGCAAAAATCCATACTGAATTGCAAGCTATAAAAGGCCACGACTTGATAGTTGTAAAACAATGCAAACGAGAAAATCTTATCAGCAGATTAAGCATTTTGAGCTCGCTTCCAGTAACGTCGAAAATCCTTGAAACAGTAATTTACTTCATCTTATCTTTTTTTTGCTTGTGTTTTCGTTATCTATTATAGAGTTATTTAAAAGATATTTTCCTATACTAATATCTTATTGCATGTTCTTATGTGTACCTTATAATTCCCCTGATCGAGATTAAAAACCTTTTTTTTTCACAACTAGGTGTGAATGAGATTTTTAAAGACCCAGGATTAACTCTTGTTGTCCTTTAGGGTTTTATTTTGTGTTGATTGTTGCTATCTCATTGGTGTATATCCAAAATGTTCTTTCATTTCATATAATTTAATAGTATTTCCACTTAATGAGGATTCCATATTAGGGACTACAAATTTTACAAAAGTATGTCTCTCAAAATAAATTTAATGCAATGAGTAATGTTTGTGTCATGGAGGATAACAGATTTTGTGATAATAATCAATAAAAGTGTTACTTCATTTAAGGAAATAATCACTTCATTTGTTTTATTTCCCTATATATGTATACATATTGTTTTAAATTTGAAAATGAGGTCTTGTAGAGGTGTTTTCCACAATCTACACAATTATATTAATTTTAAAATATGGTTTGTTTAAACCAATTTTTCGATCATATTGTTTTTATTTTTATATTATAATTTTTATGATCATGGTTCTAAGTAAGATTGAAGGTTCTGCATTAAGGAGAAGCTGTGTTAAATTGCAGATTTTGATAATAATACCTACCCCTTGTTGACCTTTTTAATTACCATTTTCCACAGAGAATATATCATTTTGAATTCTGGATGGCAATATGGAAGATATGATGTTGATGAAACGGTTCGTAATTTGGCTCCGATTAGCGATAGCATTTGGTAAGAAAATTGTAATCAAACTGTTATCTAAAAAAATCAAATATTTTTTTCTTTTCTTCCCGAAGTTCAGCGTTGAAGATATGAAGTCAAGCGCAAGACATGTGGCCTAAAGAGATAAAGATGTGAATTCCAGCGCTTGATATGTAAACTTCAATGCTTACGATTTTATCCCCTTGCCAAAGATGTCCAGCGGTAGAGACGTTAAACGGATTGTAGTGAGTGTTTCTACTAGCCTAAGAAACATCGATTCGCACGCAGCAAAAATTGCAAAGAATTGTCTCGCATAATTCAATTGTATGTCTTATATTTATAATTTGGTCCAACACTTTCGAGGATTCCAATAGTAAAAAAGGGCTTTCCATATTTTTCCAAATTTAAGCAGACATAATTTGATTTTGTCACCTGCGCTCATTTTTCTTGCGGTAATCTTCTTTTGATTGATCACTCTAATGCGCATGTTCTTTTTTAAGGATCCAATGATACGGACTTGCAGAGTCTAGTTATCTCTTCACAGCAATCTAACTGGGACACCTCGCATACATCTTGTCACTATCTGGCAGGTGAAGATGTATTTTGTACTGAATACAACACTAGCCAGGAATGTAGACCGGAAGTCGCAGACTTTTACGACATGAGTGGTTTACCAGAAACGTTTACAGCCTGGATTGATTCTTTCCTACAGACGTCATACAGTATTACATTCGATGGTACGTGTTGTAATAAAAAAAAATATATAAAAAAAAAAACATTTTACCTTAAGACACGATTCTAAATTTTGAAATTTAATCAAATTTTTGATAACACGACATGTATATCGTCTTATGTGATTGTATGGTTATTCCGTCCACAGTAAAGAATTTTTCTGCAAACTTACATGACGTTTTTCTAATTCGATTGATATTTTAGGGGTTTCCTTACCTTTTTAACATATAAACACCGTATAAGAGAATATTGAAGATACATATCCGAGTTGCAATTGTTATGTTTATGGGCAAAGCATATGGACTAAACATATTTATAAGATAAGGTTCTAAAACTATTCTAAACGCTAGTTGTCCAATTCAAACCAAATTGTACTATAATAATCCACAGAAAAAATATGTCGGATTTTGATGAAGACCAAAAAACACATGTTCCTTGATCAATTTATAACAAAGTGATAAAAATTAAAAAAAAAAAAAAAAAAATGTGAGTCTTAAAATTAAATTGACAGTTATTCTAGTTAATATTTTTCTGATTTTAATACATAAATGTGCAATTGGTTTTATTTCTTTTTGGGTTTCCTATGAATACCAATGGTGCATTTAATTATGGCGAGCATCTGCATCGCACTCTTTACATAGTATTACATCATTATTACCGAAATCAGATTACAAATATACCATGTTTTAAAAAACAATGAAACAAACACACAATAAATTATGAAACACTTATCACATATACCATAACTACTAATCTACAAATATTACCTTTTAATATAAATTACATTCCTGAAAAAAAAGAGAATGTTAATTCAATCCTATTCACATGTTACGTAATTTTTATTTAAATAAATTAAGTCGAAAATAATCAATTAGAACATTCAACAACACTTATTTTACAGCATTCAACCATTATAGACATGCCATATTCGTATAAACCAAGAAGATGTATATACATGTAGTAGTATACATAGCTTTGCCATCATATAACCAACAATCCGCAAAATCAAACTGTCAAAAAAATAGAAAAAATAATGGTAAATCGAAAAACTAAAATTCTTAGAAAGATCAAGGTCAATCAAATGAAAAAAAGGAAAACAGACGGTGAAAAAACACTTCATTTGAAGCTAAAGGTTGAGTGAGCTACGTTGAACTTCTGAAAATAAGAGGAAGTTTAAGATAAATTTGATTTTAGGTCACAATTGGCCCAAAATTGTACCTTCTAACAAAAGGAGATAATGCACGCTGATATATAAAGAAAACAAACCCCAATAACAAATATTAAGGAATATTTGAAAAATACAATAGCATCACTTGAAACCTTAATTTTGAAAAATTGTGGAAGTGATAATAGTAAAGGTCAAACACTAAGAAACCCCATGCTATTTCCTCTCTCGTTGGGTTGGACTGGCCTTAGATGGATTTGGCTATTATTTTAGGTACTTTTAAGTCGTTTAGCTCTTAAAATGTTTCGCTTCCTGTACATCAATGGCTTTCAAATATTCGGCTTGGAGCGTTCCTGATGAATGTAAATCACGGAAAGCGCTACGGACTCATGACATTTATAGTATAGTTTTAATTTTTTACAGCACTGATTTGATACCGCTGATTGTGGACTATCAGTTCCCAGGGGTATCATCAGCTCAGTAATCAGTACTTTGGTACTGACATGATTTATAACAAACCTTTCTTAAATTTTCCGTTTATAGATTTAGAAATGGTTTCAACACCCTCAGACAAAGTTGGCCGTAGATGGCTATTATTTTTAGATACTTTTTGGTCATTAAACTCTTCAAATGTTTCGGTGCTTATACATCATTGGCTTTTTAAATTTTCGGCTTTGAGAGTTCCTGATGAAGGTAAATCAAGAAAAGATACAAATACCTGTGGATCTTTTTGTGCATAAGCATAAATTCCGACGAAAAAATTCCACAGAAAGATAAAAGAATGATCTTTGTATAGCGTTAGTTTGCATCTCTGACTCCCGCGACAGTTTTTTTATGAAAAATTCCTAAACATGAGCAATAATCTCATCGAAAAGAGAAAGTCGAGCACACCTCTTTATGTTCAGGCGTGTTTGAGTTGACTTTTTTGTCTTGAAAACGTATAAGGCAAACATATTTGATTCATCATCTCGCTTCAGATTTTATTATTTTTATATATTTAGGCTACATGATGATAAAATAACATTGAAAATTCACCAAAAAATGAAATATATGGGTCAAGTGAAATACCTTTCTAATGAGTCATAAGAACAGAGAAGTTGTGTTTGAATAACATTTTTTACTTAAAGTACTTGACGACAAAATTTACAAGTGGATCTTAAAAATGCATAACTTCAAATAAAATTTGATTTTGTGTGTGTAAGGTAACTTCATCCACTGAAAATATTTAGTCTGCCCTTCCACGAAGTATTCAATTAGATTTTTGTTAAGGAAAAAAATGAACTTTCGAAAATTCCCCCTGACAACCGAACAGAAAATTGTTTTAAGTTGACAGAAGGCCTTGACATACATTCACTGATGCTTGATATCTAGTAAATACATTTGTTTTAAATACAACTGTCATGTAAGAATCGTAATGAAGCTATGTGGTTAAAATCGGTTTTCAAGAGCTTAATTGACAGCGCGTCATCCCTACGTTATCACCATTTAAGAAAATAGGTTGCGTAATGGGGAGATAATTTTGCCGAAGTAAAATCCTGACTGAAACAAACACCTTCTACTAGCTTTGAAAGTTATCACTTGCTGGCAAAACATGAATGATTATATTTTAGAATTTTTTGTAAGCAGTGACAGTATAGTTCCGGATTGTCATGCGTTTTCAGCACTAGTTGGTTTATCAATGTCTTTGAGTACGAACAAACAGTTGTGACAAGGACTAACTGTAAAATGGAAACAGTTATAAAAATGTATTATAAAGTAAAACAATAACCAAATAGAACTCAAAGGAAATTCAAAACGGGAAGTCCCTTAACAAAAACAAGTCCCTTGATGATACATTTCATCGAATTAAGCTTTACCTCTTAAATTGATCTTTCATGTTTGCATTCAAAAACATTCAATTTCAATCCTGATATCTATAATGATTTAATTTACCAGAGACATTTACAAAAATCTTGAATCTTTTATTCGCACGGTTACTTGCTCAAACATAGCTTAAATGTTTATTGAAAATGTTGTGAAAGCATGGAAATTTTCTTAAATATTTCCTTTTGTGCGATTCCGTGCTACAGTTATAATTCTATTAAAACGATTTTTTTCCTATGTCTATAATGAGACAAATATCAAGAAATGCCTCCGGTACAATATGGATTTGACTATTTCAGAACTTAAAACTAAGTGGGAGTCTATTTCAGTAGTCTCCTTTTAAGAACAGTTTGTGTGGTGGTCCAAAGATATTACAAGGCTATTTTGTTATCAGATAACAGTAAAACAACCGCAAATCTAGTTTGGACCACCCAATTACAGAATGACGAAACTCTTTATGCCAATACATTGACTGAAATAAAATTAAAAAGTTGATACTCCTATTTCTATCAGTAAGATAAGCTGCACTAAGAAACTAATCCTTGTTGATATGTTAAAGACGCATTCTTCTAATTAAGGCGTAGTATTTATTTGTTTTTTATTTGATTTTTTTCACAGGTTGTTACGAGGTAAAACTTGACGACAGTACCGTTAGCAGTCTTATAAAGTATAAAACTGTTGCTGACCTAAAAGAATGTGCCATGTCGTGTTCAAATGTTATTGTAGACATTGGTTGGGTGGTATGTTCAATTTTTTTTATTTGCGCTATATTTAGGAATTTACGACAATGCTCATTAAATGCTCATGCAAATCTAAAAAAATTGCAGCAGCGTCAATGCGAGACAGCCTAACGTCGCCAGCATAAATAAATTCCTTGTTTCACAATTCCACTTGAAAATAATGACATTGTACAATCTCAAAAAAAGACTATCCTTTTATTTCAAAACAGACGAACTACACAAACAAACAATAAGCACAGCTGAATGTAAAGCAAAGTAAAATAAACAAACCACATTTTAAGGTTGTAACTAAGTATACAGGAGAGCAGATCGCCTTGTAGAATATGTGGTTTTTTTCTATTACAGGACGGGGATTGTTTTTGTATTATGGATGGTGCAGTCAGCCGTGTATCCACCATGACGGCTTTACTGTCACCCATTCAGTGTACAGATGAAGATTTGAACAGAAATAACACGGTCATTAACCTGTACAAGAGAATAAAACGTAAGTATGGATAAAAAGCGCCAGTTTAACCTCTATTTATCTAACCTTATTGACAACTTATCTATATGAAGACCTTCATGCAATGCTGTTCTTTAATGTGAAGATCCTAACATAGTTTGTTTATATAGTTTAAAGAAAAGTCGTAGACCTTGAAGATACAATTTCCTTGTATGACTCTTTCAACAAATGGAAATGCGAAGCACGCATCCTTGTCCGTATAGAGGAAATTTTATATCCGTGATAGAGTGTATAAATTCCGTTATAAAACAATGCTCAAAATTAAAGATTTTTTTTTTAAGAAAATAGATAGTTTTGGACAAAAATGGAAAACGTTAAAATTACCAAAATCTTTACTTTTCCGTTATGTCCAAGATCTAACTCTTCTATTTTCTCACCACTTCCTGACCACAACCACCACCAACACTTACAATTAAATTACTGCATCAACATTGTCTTACAAGAAATCAAGTGAAATAAAACAATTTCACTTTATTTCTTTTGAAAAATAAAAACACTATATGAAATTGAAATATGCATGCGTTATCACGGAAATGTAACCTTAACTAACTTCATGCCTCTCTAAATATTTCATAGGTATCAATTTGATTGATAAAAGATGTCCAGTTGGGTCTTATCTTGGTGGTTATAGACACGTCTTTTCGGGTATGATCAACTGCGAGGAATCTCTTAAATATTATTGCAACAATTCTAACCACGGTATGTTTTACATTTTAGATGTGTTTGTTTCTTGTAGCATGTTATTACTGATCTCTGTAGTTAGTTTTTACTTTGTTGTTTTTTTTTACCATTGTTTTATTTGAAAAGTAATAGATTGAGTACAACTTTTGTAAAACAATTATATTTTGAAGTATACGTATGAGTCCTAGCAAAGAAAACGAAATGTTAAAATATCCATTAGCAGATAACTTTAAAAGATGATTTAACGATGAAATGGACACTTGTTCACCTTAATTTGTAAACACACGTTTCAAATTAAAACTTGTTGCTTCAAAAATGGAAATAGTAATACAAAAGATAAGTTCAGCAAAATCATGTTCGTCCAAATTGTAATTTCCAAATCTTTGTAACCTTCCGTTTAGAATCTATATGTAAAAATATCGAACAAGTTGTATGAGTTTTAAAATTTAATTTCTTTATTACGGACTTGATTTGTTATAACGACGTTTTTATTCGTCATAACGAAATGCATTTATTGTAACGATTTTTTAAAATATTATACATTGAAAGGAAAATGGTATGAAATGGTCGTTACACAATTTATGTTGACTTACCCTTCAATGTTATATGGAATAGATCTTCGTTAAGTCAAAGGATGACTAGTAAATGTTACAACGGACTACTTTTCCTGTCTGGGCAAAATTTTGGTTTGATTAGTTGCAGTTTTCCTAATTTCATCCGAATTATCCTTTACTTGATCGATCATGGACGAGGAAATAAATAAATCTAGTTTACATTTTTTTGTTAATGCACCAAAGGAGTCATAATTGTCAAACATCAAAGTCTGAAGTGTCAAAATAGTTCGCATCTCAACCGATAATATAGTGTTATTAAATGGGTGTATTTATATTAATCCTGTATTATGTTCAAATACAGTCGTATTGGGTGGAGGTTAGCTGTATTAGCTCGAGGCGTAGCCGAGGACAAATATAGCTGATCGAGCTGTACTGAAATTTTCTTTGTTTTCAATGTCCTGTTGAGTATTAGTTTTTCCCGAATTTTAGTATTAGATTAATTGTTGAAAACTTAATCTTATTTATTCATTTAAAAAAAGAAGAAGATAATACACAGTGCCTACACAGACATAACTGAAAATTTAATTAAACTTGCACCTGAATGCCCATACGCATCATACGTATATACTGGTAAAGTAGAACTAGCACATTTATTATTGTAATTACCCTCCTTGGCTGAATTTGGCAGTTCTTTTCAAATGTTTGGGTTTGAGAGTTCGTCATGAAGGTAAATCCATTCGGATTTGGACGCACGAGATTTATAAAAGAAAGACGAAAGATACCAAAAGGTCATTCAGACTCATCATTCGAAAATAAATAAACAACGCCATGGCTAAAAAAAAAGACCTACAGACAAACAACTGTACACAAAAAAAACAACATCAAAAACAAAAGACTGAGCAACACGAACCCCGCCAAAAGCTGGGGGGGATCTCAGGTGCTCCGGAAGGGTAAGCAGATCATGCTCCACACGTGACACCGTTGTGTTGCTCATTATAAAGTGTTATTTTCATTTTCAATGTTAGGTAGTTTAGATCAACTATAAAACATTAAAAACGTTCATTGTACGGAAAGATACAATTTTTAGGATATTTTTTTAGTATTTGGACCGGATACTTGGAATGAAGCCGTGGATAATTGTACTAGTATGTCTGGAAGATTGATCAACAGAAAAGAAGTTTTTAATAAGCATCCAGGCGAAGCCATTCAGTACTGGGTCAATGAAATCATAGTGGAGAAGCTGGCGTTTAGTACACGTAAGAAATTATATCTAGACAGTCTGCTGACATCGTACAATCGACCCTTGCCTTTTTGCTTAAGACAAGACGGATAAGATCATGCACCATTGTTGTCTTATAGAACAAGGAAGGCATTTTTGCATTTTTCTTTTCATTTCTAAGACTTTACTTCTGCTTTTGATGTTAGTTTATTCAGTTTAATAAATTCATTCCAATAACGCAACATTATTAACGATTTAATAGAAAATGAAAGGATATGGAGTAAATGTACATGGGACAAAATCGCACACAATACATAGAAAATTATCAATGAACAGGGCTTTTATTCCTGTTCTTCATCTTGACAGTTGATGTAGGGTCTTCAACAATGAACGAATCATTCATACCCTACAACAAGGTCAAGACGGCCCCTAGCGTCGACTTAAGCGGTACTATTGATAAAGATAAACTACAGTTCACCTTCTTGCTCCTTGCTTCTTGCTTAAGAACATTTTCCTTGTTTCATATGATTAATTATCGGTTTTAGCTGAGCTTATTTTTATTTTCCTATTGCAATCCTCGATGAGGTTTTATTATGATAATTTCTTGATAATATTCCATCGGTAGTATGTGTAATTTTTAAGACTAATATTGTACCAGGGGAAGAAAATTGTCTTCATAATGGAACGTCCGTGAAAATACGATACATGATATATTCTTATTCTCTATGCGCAATTTAAATACAAATATAACAGACAGGAAATTACACTGATTTTGTTCAGGTAGATTAAAACGATCATAAGTCGAATAACTGGTTGCTTATATCTTAATTGGTTGTATCAAAATGGCACGATTTTTGCTTATGAATATTGAAAAAATATGTAAGTATCACTTTATACAAAAGATCAAGTCATTTTTATATTTAAAACAAGAAAAATATTCCACTAAATCGCTTCACCTATCGTTTTAGACTAACAATCTAAACAAAACTTCAGTCAATTAAAGATATTTAAATTAAGAGAAAATAAAATGAAATACATAGTGACTTCTTGGCACACTATTCCAATGTACAGCGGTGCGTGATCGTTTCCGTCGGGTTTTGAAGAAATATTACAGGTCGACTGTACGGTGTTAAGTAAAAAATCGAAAACTAGTTGTATGCATAACGACTTCCTTGTACAACAGACTAATCTGCTTCTGTTCAAATGTGTCTTGACACCTTATAAAACACGTACACAAGTCTATATCAATAGACAAGTAAGTTAATTTAGTATAAACCCAACGATAAAAGGCATTCAGGAAAAATGTTAGACGATACATTTGATTTAAAAATTTGTTCTCTCTAACTTGAAAAAAAACTCCAATTAAAACTATTTTGATTAAAGCGCCAGTTTAAGATATGTCATCATCATTTCTAGTCTCATGCTAAGAATATTTTTTTAGGGGTGGCGGGTAATGTTAATTATCATATTCATATTTTGAGAATGACTGTAATAAAATCTTCTTGCTGTTTGAAGGAAAGATTCAAGATACACTGTGTACAGCTTTATTAAGAGATGGAAGTGGACTTTTTAGATTTTCTTTGTTAAACTGTTCGCTCGAACTACAAAGTTTATGTGTAGAGCAAGAGAAAGCTGACTTAGGTATGCAAATAAATATCCTAGCATAGTAGGAAAGATTTATGCATGTTACTTGAAGGGGCAGATCCATTATTTTGTATTAAGGTAGTGCATGTCAAAAGTCATGCTTATTATTATTATTTCGCAGACGTTTCTGATGGGCACTGAATGCAATCATCAAAGTAAAATAGCGTTCAAAGAGATCGTTTATCCATGTGGCTTGTCCAAAATAAGGATTGTTGTTAATGTCACTGTTGTTGGTATGGTTCTTCTTGCCTCTGTAAGAGCATTTGTCAGCGCATAGATGTATAAACCCAAATGCTAAATTAGTGTTGTTCTGGGATAGACAGTGCACAAATAATGCAAAATAAGTGTTGTTCTGGGATAGACAGTGCACAAATAATGCAAAATTATTTGAGTGTATAAAAAACACACACTGTGTGGTTCTATTGACAAAATAATGGTGTCAGAACACTCCTTGGGTGTTCCCAGAGGAATATTTATATTTATGTTGCATTTATAGGGGATCAAAGGGGGATACTCAGTTTTTAGGAGATTTTTCAAAATAACTTTTCATAGGAATTGTTATCAAAAAATTAAAATAGAAACTTTATGGGTACCCCATTTGGTTTGGGTTTGATATATCTGATGACAGGGAGTATTTTCTACAAAACCGTGTCCCAGTTTTTAGATAATTTGTTTCTGAATGAATTTACAAGTCTCCAAAGATGAAAGGTGAAATGAGGTTTGGCACCCAGCAGTTAAATCAATACAACTTCTAATTTGGGGCATATTTTAAAAATCTGCGACACGGTTGTGTAGCTTGTGTATGATCAATTAAAGTGATGAAAACAAATTTAAAAAATCCATTGAGTAGTTTATGAGAAATTAATCTTTAAAGACTGTTGGTTGGAGTCAAATAATTCTGACTGTAGTGTTACCTTAAGGTTGCATTTTTGTAAATATAGACAATGCAATTTCCCATAGGAACTCCCTTTGCGGCTAAAATTTTGCCACTTTTAAGGTTTCAACTCCCTCAGGCAAAGTTGGCCTTAGATGGATTTGGCTATTTTTTTAAGTTCCTTTTTGGATTATAGCTCTTCAACGTTTTCTGTCCTTATACATCCTTGGCTTTCAAATATTCGGCTTTGAGCGTTCCTGATGAAGGTTAATCCAGAAAAACGCTTCGGACACATGCAATTTATAACGTGTGGTTTTAATTTTTTACTATGAAGTTTCGCAAAAAAATATATCCTAGAATGGAAAGTTGATATGCACTACTATTTTATTCAAAGGTCAAACCATAGGGCTGTGCGGCATATTTTCAACATTTATATGCCCCGAGCTTGTTAGAGTTTAAACTTATACTAAAATTCTGTACTACCCATACCTTCACTTTGGGCCTACTTCAGAATTCAATTTTCACCGCAACCATATGTTTTTATACTGGAAACCTTCCCAAGTTATGTCTCTATGAGATGAAGCATAGAGATCATATCTGGGAACCAGTACGTAAACAAAACGAAATATCTATGACTATTATATATCTCCCCAAAAGAGGCGTGGTTTGAGAAACAGTTGTATTTACAAAGTGCAACCTATACTAACATTTATTCAAACAGAAAACTCTCTTATAACACTTTTTCTCACAACAATACTTATTTATCAGAATTTTAGTCTTAAAGAAATCACTGCATATACTCTAAATTTTCTTTTACAGTACATTCTACACCCCCACCCCTGTTTCAATTTTTTAAAGAATTTGATAACAAGACTTTAATTATTGCCAGCTGACCCTATGTGCATGGTTTCTGACATGAAATGTCGAGAACCTGTTTGAAATTATTCTGACAACAAATTGAAAGCATTTCAGAATACTATAAATGTAAAGTTTAGTAGTTGATCATTCCAACATTCAAGATTATATAAAGTATCCAATCATGCCTCTGTCTCCAGTCCACATCTTGCTGTATGCCTATTTGTCAAAGAAAGTTCACAATTTCTGCCTCAAATGGTCAGTTCAGAAATCTTGTTACAACAGTATCATCTCTAACCATATATCTAACATAATTTAGCTAATATATGAACTAGAAGTGTTTAAACAAAGCCATAGTTGCATAAGTTGTATGTATGAAGTTACCAGTCTGATGTATGAATTCACTTAAAGTTTTATAGAACTGACTGCTAACATTTTGCATAACTTTACATATTTAGGATAGAACAAAATATTGTTAGTTTTATTGAGGTATTTTTGTATTTCTAGCTTGTATTTTTTTATGCCGCGGTCACAAAAAAGCAAATTTAGGTGTTACGGCTTACCTTTGGGTTATCGACAGGACAAAAACACCCCACCATCAATATTCAGGAAGGATCTATGAGTTTCAATGACTGCGAAGAGTAAATATAAGCACTTCTAAACAATTTAAATTACAAATATGCATATATTATGAATTTATTTTGCATTCAGGGCGTTAAGTAAACTATGCATACTGTAAACTGTGAATTTATGCTGAGTCATCATAGTTGAGGCCAATGATTTTCTCAATCTTCATGAAATATTTATAAAACTTCATATTTTTCATGAAGATTGAGAAAATCCTGGGCCTTAACTATGATGACTCAGCATAAATTCACAGTTTACAGTATGCATAGTTTACTTAAAGCCCTGAATGCAAAATAAATTCATAATATATGCATATTTGTAATTTAAATGGTTTAAAAGTGCTTATATTTCATGTATTTACTCTTCGCAGTCATTGAAACTCATATATTTGAGCTAATTTCATTAAAATCTCTGAGATAAACCAGATTTTATGAAATTCTATATGATCTCTTTTTTCACCCAATATAGGTTGCATTTCTGTAAATATAGACAATGCAATTTCCCATAGGAACTCCGTTTGCGGCTAAAACTGTGCTACTTTTACTATGAAGTTTCGCAAAAAATTATATCCTAGAATGGAAAGTTAATATGCACTTCTATTTTATTCAAAGGTCAAAACATAGGGCTGTGCGGCATATTTTCAACATTTATATAACCCGAACTTGTTAGAGTTTAAACTTATACTAAAATTCTGTACTACCCATACCTTCACTTTGGGCCTACTTCATAATTCAATTTTCACCGCAACCATATGTTTTTATACTGGTAACATTCCCAAGTTATGTCTAAATGAGATGAAGCATAGAGATCATATCTGGGAACCAGTACGTAAACAAAACGAAGTATCTATGACTATTATATATCTCCCCAAAAGAGACGTGGTTTGAGAAACAGCTGTATTTACAAAGTGCAACCTGAACTCAAGTAATCGCGTACAATATAATTACCAATCACCGGAAATGACACGAAGAACACAATTATTATTCCAATGGTATTAATAGTAGGGTTGGTGCTTGAGAGAGATCAAATGTTTACTTCAAGTTAACTGTACAGACATGTTGCATTAGAATGTTAATTTATTTTATGTTTCAAGTAAAACAGGAATTGAAGTACGATAACGAAAACTGTTTCTAAAATTAAATTTACCTTTTTTTAGAAGCCTTATCCACAGAAGAAACATCAAAAGAGGATAACACAAAGAAACCTACACTGAATAGACATTCAACTTCCGGTGGGTATTTTCAGATAATTCTTCTCAGCATATCTTGATAATTCAATACTATTTGAAATATAGAAATGTTTACACAGTCTCGTGATAATGTAGTGTTGCATTCCTTTTCAAAAATTCCTTTTTTATTTTCCTCATACAGAAACATTTAAGTGAGTAAAATGAGTTACCCTGTATTAAAGAAAGTGAATTATAAAATTGATTTATATAAATAGAAATTGTAACGGATGAGCATAATGCAATTTGGAAGTCAGTTACAGCTCCTAGTGAGACATCTGAAGAGCAGAATCCACCAACACCTGAGAGTGACGTGGTTGATGGTGACAATGTTAGTAAGTAGTAAGGTTTAGATTATGGCCCTTAAACGTCCAACAGGGTAATTCTTCAACTTTCAGCAGGTCAAATTAACGATAATGTTAAATAACATCAATCCTTGTGTATATCAGACGAAAACATGAGCAGGAAAATTTGAAAATAATACACCAAAAGGATACCAACATCTTCCATTTTTTTTACCACAACCACCAAAACCCAACTTCTAAAAAAAAATAATAATAAAACATGCAAACAAATACAAAAACAACAACGAACAACATATGTTCCAGATAACGTGATATGGGATTTGCTAAAGTTAGGTTGGCAATTTAACAGTTTTACGGGCGCACAAACCTCCACTTTTGCCCATCTTGAGAACGCGTCATAACAATTTAAATACACAAAAATAAACCTACACAGTTCAGATTCCAACACGATGACCATAATTTGAACAAGAAAATAAACGAAAGCACATAATTTGATAACCACGATCAAATTGTGCTCTCTAGTATTACATGGAGCTCCCTTATGTAGCCACAGCTGTTGTCTGAATATTGCCCTTCAAGGAAACAGCAAATCAGAATAAAAAAAAAACACTTGAGGTTTCCTCAGCTTACAAGTTACAATTCCATAGGAAGATATTTCATTCCAAACTCAGATCAGTAATTGCACTTGCAGTGAAATTTATATGTGCTCGAGTTTTAAAACACAATTCAATTTTTTACTTAATCTATACTATATATATGTTCGGATATTTTTTTTAATCACTGAATATTGGTTATGTCCTTTCGCCTCTCTGTTATGGTAATTATTTTCTTTACAGGTGCAGGCGGGATTGCGATAGGAATTACTGTTGTTATCGTCTGTATTGTTGTTGCAATAGTTTGTTATCGAAGGTAAGCTTATTGATGAAAAATAGCTTGTTGGCAATATCAGACATTTCTAGCAAAAATAAGATATTCCTCGATATATTTGTTATTGCGCCATCACAATCATGGGTTAAATATTAGACTACCAGAATAAGAATAATTTGTTTTATTGCTATAATGAACTTTTATGTCGGACCATTTATTAAATGACCTCATCGTAGAATACATTCTCTGAAGCACATTCGCACCAACACCATCCAAGCCTACAATTTGCAACCAACAAATTATATAAATAACTTTAAACATTATATTTATATAAAAATCGATATTGGGATTATCACAAAGACTATTAATTTTGTTTCGATTTACGATGTTTTGTACCTCACTTAAGAACATTTTCTGTTGCATGTATTGGTAAGTCGTCTTATGTTCTTCTTAAAATTCCATCTTAAGTTATATTTTCAAATGTAACAGATTAAAAGACATGGTTAATTTTACAAACGGTCAACACAGGTTAGCGTGTTTATAATTTTAAATACACAGTCACGTGAATTTGAATTATGTGTTCTGTCAAATTTGTTCCATTTCATATTTTTAGAATAAACCCACAGAAATTCCTATAGGTCAACATATGGTCTTCAACAATAAAGTGTCTATACCATTGTCAAATGCATGTCTATCCGCATTTAAAATCGTCGATATATATGTATAAAATTTGTGGGTATAATATCTTTTTCAACTTTTAGAAAGAAAAAAAAGCAATTAGAAGAGAAACTGAAGTATAGAAAATTGCAAATGGAGTTCAAGCCGAATAAAGTCGAATCCGACGGCATGTTGACTCAAAACCTACGGTACCTTCCGTCAGTTATTACATATCCATCTGGTTACAACGTTAGTAATTTGAAAATACCGGATGATGTAAGTGTAGAACAGATGGAAGTTAATGCCACAATACATAAAGAGAATAGTATTCTGGGAAATCCTGAAGAAAACGTCGGCCAATCAAAAGCTCAAGAAGAGTCTGTTTATCCGGAAAAGGTACAATTTGCTAAAAAGGGTAGTAAGACAGAATTTGAACCTGGTAAAAACGGTGATGAAAACAATTCTGATAACTCCGGCAGTGATGATGGTCGATACATATCTTTGGTTATAAACCAAGATAAAGCAAGTGATGACGACGATCGCTACATATCAATTGTATCCCCACAATTCGATATTGACAGAGACAACGTGTTTCTAGGAGATAACATTGAAACCAAAGGAGAAGATATAGGAGAGAGTGGTTTACTGAAAAACGGTCTAATGGTAGCTGATGAAGACGAGGAGAATATAAACGGGGAATCAAATGAAGGAAAGTACAATACTGAAATTCAAACTAAAGAAAACGGGGGTTCTTATGAAGAAACTGACAACGATAGAGTCCGGGCAGATATACAAGAGATGAAGGACGAGGATGACGCAGACGAAGGACAAGCAAAGGGCAATCATGGCGAAGTAGACATTTCTAAGCTACGAGCATTGATAGAAGATGAAAATGGTGCACCTGATATGGCATCGCATATACTCAGGAACTTTTCCATGAATGACAGAATTGACAGTGCCATATTCAAATAATGAGATACTTTTGTTATACCATCTTGATATCCGGGCCTTCAAATAACTATATCATTTACAGTAGGAGTGTTTACCCTCGGGAGTTTTTGTTCTTAATAACAAATATGTTTAATGCTTAAAGACAGTGATATAACTGTGACGTTTCAATTGTACTTTGTTCTTTCACGATATATAACATGATGATTACCTTCATATTTTGCGTGAGGCTTTTCTTGAAAAAAAAATGTGATCGTCACTTACTTTCAGTTCGTACATTTTCCACAAAACAAGATTTCAATCAAATGAAGTAAGCTATCAAACTATTAAAGTATTCATAATGTAAAGTTTACGTCATCACTTGAAATGAATTATAGACACAATCATTGGTTGACTGTTATGGAATATTCGCGCTAGAGATGACCACAGATTTAATCCAATAGACCACTTTCGAGTTCGATGCATTTCCGTCAAAAACTTTGGTTATAGTGAACATCATTCATGCGTTTAGGGGCATCGTCACTTCCTTCCCATGTTGAGCGAGCGGTCGAAAAAATATGATGCTATATTGCACGAATTATTAGGCAAATCAAATTCTTATAATTGACAATCAGCACGGCTGTCATTAGGGAATTGTGATTAAATACCTACGGAACAACAATTATTTCTAGTTTATCCTGCATAATGACATCACGAAGACGCTTGATGAACTTTAGTACTGCAGGGATACATCTCTATCTGGTAAATGACGTCATAACGGCGCGCATAATTGACGAACCTTTCCGGTGAAGGACATAACTCGAAAGTGGTCTATTGTCGTACTCCCATTGGGTTCCCTTCTAATCCAATTCGAATGTTTCACCAGAATGTTACTTGCTGTTAGCATCATGACCGTAACCACTACTGGAGTAATAACTGCTTAATCTTTCGAAGCAACTTGGTTCACATCCGTTGCTCAATTTTAGTTTTCTGTGTATTATTTTGTAGAAAGTTTTTTATTTGTTTGTATTTGTTTGTCCATGGTATTTTGTGTCTCTTTTTGATGTATATCTGGGGTTTTTTTTATTTCCCCAATCGTTACGTTATTTTTACTAGTTTTAAGTGTATTCAATTGTTATTTTTTCTTTTGGAATTGATTTTTATTGCAAAACGTTGCATACTAGATAACTCAGTAATTTTATAATACAATAACTATGCTGTCACGTTGTTCACTAACAAAAACATTGTAAATATACCTCTTCCACTATTATTTCAAAACTACTTAAACCTTTCTGAAGATATCCAATTTAATTACAGGAGCTTGACAATGAACAAAAAACTTACAATCGACTTCATACCCGAAATATGTGAAACCAGCATCCAAATAAAAAAATGAACTTTTATTTAGATAATGATTTGTGAATCCGGAAATGTGTGACTGCCAATTTATGTACAGGGCATTCATTATTCAATTATATATTTTATGATTAAATTTAGGATTCAAATTATTGGCTTCAATCTTCAGCGTTTGTAACCAAAAATTAGTGGTAGTTTTTTGCCCTTTCTGTCAACAGTCATTGATTATTATTTAACAACCACTTTGACGTTTCAGATGGAAAACGTTGAGCTCTGATTCAAACCTATTAATATTATGCATAAATTATTTACTGAAGTGGCCAAAATAATGCTGATTCATTGACACAAAATGATAACCATTCGATTATTTATATATTTATTTGTATTTGTTTTATGAAGAATGGTACTTGTATCATCAAACAAGAGGCAAGACTTCTAAACTAGAAAACTTATGTGATGATTGGTACTTTATACTTTAAATAAAAAAGTGTTATAATGACTTAAATATACGTTATACTTGTTCAGTATCAATCGCGAATTTGTTGACCGATGCAATGTGTCTGTGTCTCATTTGTTTTTCAATTTTAGATCTGAAGCTATCAGAAAAGTTGTTTGATCTATATATTTACTGTCTATTACCTATTATGAAATTGGGAGATTGTGTGTGGATTCTCATCACTGATGATTCATTTATAGTCTGCCAACACACCTGGTCTTATCTTAAATGCAATTCGATTTCCGGTTGTGAAATATGGAGGATTTCTATTCCATTTACTTATGTTTTCAAATAGCAATTTGAATTTTCCGACCTTCATTCCGGTCGAGTAACATCGCACGCCTACCTGTTTGATTTAGTGTTAAATTGATTTTGTCCTGAATATGCATTAAAACAGTGGACGCAAAACTTACAATAAACGATTAATCAACGTATATTTCCCGCGCTGAATGCGACTTTCCTAATTAGACTTATCACCGGATTTAAAATTACATGAGCAACATAACGGATGCAACATGTTGAGCAAGATCTGCTTATCCTACCGAAGCATCTGAGATCACCCCCAGTTTTTGGTGGGGGTTCGTGTTGCTCAGTCTTTAGTTTTCTATGTTGTGTTTTGTGTACTGTTGTTTGTCTTTTGATCTTTTTTTTTCTTCTTTGCCATGGCGTTTTCAGTTTATTTTCGCCTTATGAGTTTGAATGTCCCTTTGGTATCTTTCGCCCCTCTCTCTCTCTCTCTGAGAACACTCGCTTGACAACTCAACAGTATTTACTACATTAAATGGTACAAAATTTAGTGCCTATCTAGACAGGAAAACAGAACACTTAAATGAAGCCATAACTTTTGAGTATATACTTCATTAAAGTGCCTTACTACACATAAATGACGGAACACTTAAATGACGATACACAATTTAGAATATACTTCATTTAATGCTACAAGTGCCCATAGAACGGAACACTTAAATTCCATGATCTTGATTGTGAAATAATTCTAGAAAGTGATATAACTAACTGAAAAGGGAAACAAAATCACATATGTTAGTGTCATATGACTTCTAGAGTTCCAGTTTCTTGAATGTTGTTATATAACCAAAACTGTTAACTATGAAATGAAGTAAAACTAAGACGTTTTAATATCTACATTTGATTGTTTACTTAACTTGCAGAGTGAAACGTAAAAACAGTATCACTTGAGTTTAAAACAGTAATTGTGTATTAGTAAATTTCTTGTCTGACATATTTATGACCCGCTAGAGAATCTGGTATCAAAAGCGTCTGTTTAGCTCAGTGGAACCAATGTCATATATCGCTTTTTTTCACTAATGTTTTTTTTTTTATCTTACTTTCCTTTATGTACATTTTGTTTTTCCACAGATCGAGGTTAAAAAGGGAGGATCGAAATCTTAAAAACAATTTACGACGCGTTTTTTTTTCCAGTCTCGATACGATTTAAAGTTATCATATAGACGCTCTTTTGTTAAATACGCTAAATTTCAGATGTCCCATTGATTCATTAATTGATTGTAATTGTTATTAACAGAGGGTAAAAAAGTGTACAAAACTAATGAGAACTTCAAGGTTAATTTTAACAATTTTAGTGTATTTCATTCATCTATTCACTTCACTGAACTTTTAAAAGATTACATGATAAATGTTTAAAGATAGTCTTTAATTTTCTCGTGGAGACCAGGTATTATGTCTATCTCATATAAAGAACGGAACAAGCAGACGAAAAAATGAACTCAGTACTCATATGTTTACGACTAAATATTCAAACATACGTACACAAAAACGGAGCAAATAAAAAATCACGCATCTTTGTGTCTGTTGTCTTAATGTTAGCTCTTTTTGTGCCTCGTACCGATCTTTTGAGTTAAGCCAATTGCAACTGATTTTTACAGTTTTTTCTTATGTAGTACTGTTACACCACTGTTCCAGTTAAGGGGAGGGTTGAGCACTCATAAACATTTTTAGCCCTGCCATATTCTTTATGAGCATGTCCCAAGTCAGGACCTGTAGTTCAGTGGTTGTCGTTAGTTCATGTCTGTCGACTCATATTTGTCTTTTTTCTAAATTGTTTTGTTATGTATAATTAGGTCGTGTGTTTTTACGTTTGAATTGTTTCACAATATTCATGTTGGGTCTTTTAAAGCCGACTATACAGTTTGGGGTTTTCTCATTATTGAAGGCCGTATTGTTGCCAATAATTGCTTACATACACTTCATTTGAACTCTGGTGGATAGTTGCCTCATTGGCAATCATACCATATTTCCTTATTTGATATCATATACCTTTACTTTAAAACTCGCGTCGTCCTGAACATACATGAAATATTTGTCACCGGACGTTACAAATAAGCAACCAACAATCAATCAATTTAAACTCGTGTTAAATAAGGGGAAAACCATCTGCGACAGATTAGAATGAATAATAAATCCACAAAAAATCATCCTGCCCCTTCCCCTCCCCAGAATATCAAATAGTTGTCCCCTTACTGTTATTGTCTGGCTAGGCCTTATATTTATCTAGCTTATATTTAGCGTTCCTATAGGGATGTCCGACTAAGGCTCCCATACCATAAAAACGTTTATCATACAGCTCACATTCTATTATATCTGCATTCATAAATATAAATTAATGTCATTAAGACTAGTCTAAACGACGCCATATTTGTTATGTGCCTCTGCCGTCTAATCTACCTATTTAAAAGGAAGACAGACGATCTTCCCAATGCAAAACAACAGAAATTGATCTCTTCTGGTTCACTATGGAAGAACAAATAAAACCACGCTCCATCTCAATGGAGAATTGATACTAAACTAATTAACAACTCACCACAAAGTACACAGATGGAACTAGACTAGACATAAAACCACTTAAAATATTTCAAAGAACAATGCACAAAAACGTTATAAAAAACGGATTTATGTCAATACATGTATTTCCGTTTTCTATGTCAGCGGTTGGTCGCTGGAATAAAAATATGATTAAAAACCAACCACATAACTAATACACAAAGGACCACAACACACTTCAAGGAAATAGATTGGACCGAAACCATCCAAAATTTGATAGAGCAATGCACCAAGAAAAGATAATATGCCCATGACAAACGGAAAAAGCAACGCAGCGTCACAAAATAATTTGTTTACTTCTTTCAACATTGGTAATGACTACATGTATATATATATTGAGTTTACAATTATATTTTTTTAATACCACGTTGCAGTGATTGTCGTGTTGATCTATTGCTCGTGCGTATATCTGTTATACATTTGTGGCGGTCACTCCTCCTGAATTAGTTACTGTATTGAATGAAACTTTCAGTTAATCTCTAACACAGGTCTTGTAGGCATTGTGAACTCCTTATAATGTTTTTGATCCAATACATTTTCGAGTGATTTCATCGCAAAACATAAACTTTACCACATCTACAAATGGGTAAGTTATCTTGTATAATATATTTTTTTCAAACACTGACTGGATATCAGTGAAATATGCATATACTTTGACCTATATATAATGGTTTACTTTTATAAATTGTGACTTGAATGGAGAGTTGATTCATTGGCACTCATACCTCATCTTCTTATATCTATAAAAAAAGCTCAAAATTGCAAAAAAAAAAAAAACAAGCCTCATTTCAAGGTCTTAATAGAGGTCATTAATATTTAGATATTACCTAAAAAGTTATTTTGCTACAAGATGTATTCTATAAAGATGTTGTGTGGAAAATATCTTAACGGGTAAAGCCTTGACTTATGCCCATCGTCCAAAAATCTATGCGAAACATGGCCCTTTTAGAGAAAATAGGTCAATTTCGACAGTGGTATCACAAGTAACCTTTCCGCAATTAATTATCAAGAGTATATCAACCGATTCATTTAACAAGAAAACTACCATTATTTTGAACTTGTATAAGTTTACTATTTTTGTACTTCCAGGGCCCAAATAATGGCTCTTACATGTATCATACCTCCTCCTTTGAGGACACGACATATGGATTTGTCAATTGCGCGACTGAGAGAGTTTAGTTTTATCTTCCCAAATTTCAAACTGGGAGAGCTCAAATACATCTTATAACCATATTGCGGGTGAAGCTGTATTTTGTTCTGAATATGGCACTCGCAAAAAATGTTCAACGAAAGAAGCACACTTTCACGACACGTGTGGATTACATGAAACGTTGATAACCTGGGTGGATTTTTTCCTACAGACTTCTTACAGTGTCACATTCGATGGTTAGTGTAAACGTTATAACACAAGGTTTATGAAAATCATGTCACACTATATGACAAAAGCCTAAAATTCATATTGTCATAAAAACATCAGAGAGTTTAACCATAGTTGATTAGTTATAAATACAGGATATATAGAGTAGAGGTAAATGAGACAGCAACCCAATGACACAAACAAAACAATAAGAAACCTAGCGTTCAACATATAGCCTTCAACAATGAACAAATATAACAATATTAAGATTTTACAGAGGACAAGCACTGACCAGGTTACTGGCTAAAGACAGACGGATGATCATCGTGCAGGGTACAAACTATGTTTTTAAAATCTAATACATTACCCTTTCGAATCTTTACAAATGGACTATTCAGGACGTCAGGCATTTCGTCTATAGTTATGTAATACGCATAGTTATTCGAAACTTGTACAGTCGTATGCTGTCCTTATTTTATGCATGATTATTGTTTTATTTTCGTTTTTCTTTCAAAAAATCTGACATTCTTTCTTCCAACTTACATGGAGCTTTCTCCTGTATGAAATGTAAAATGATAATTTTTGTTTATTGTTTCTTTCGTATAATATTGTGTATTTTCAGTTCATTTTAAAAATAAGGACATGTGATGTGATTGCCAATAAGACACTTACAGGTCACCGTATTGATGTTGGCAACGTTAGGTTGTCTCATATTGACGTTGTTGCACTATTTTCTGATTTGCATGAACATACTATGAGCATCGAAATAAACTTCGTTTTATCAAACGGATGA